TAATTTTACATTATTTATACAGTTTAAAGTGCTTTTTAAAAAAAATAAAACTACTACGAATAAACAAAATCGAAACATATAAAAAGTTTTATTAGGGTTGTAAGACTCCACCATTAAAAATAATCTAAATCAATTCTGGTTTTAGAGAAGTTAGCATGGTAATACCTATCTTTAAGAAGTCGCTATTATGCTAACTTCTCTAAAACCAGAATTGATTTAGATTATTTTTAATGGTAGAGTCCTACAACCCTAATAGAACTTTTTATACAGTATGTTTCTTTTTTGTTTATTCGTAGTAGTTTTATTTTTTCTAAAAAGGTACTTTAAACTGTATAAATAATGTAAAATTAATTTGAATTTATTAGCCAATCAGACGAACTTCTGTCTATTACTAGGGATGTCATATAACTGGCATAAATGTAAACGGTATCGATCGTTGGAGGTTCTTAACTGACCGATTAAAATCTCCGATAATTTAAAATTATAAAATTAAATTTGCAAGTGATCCCAAATTATATTTATGCGTAATTATTGATAACGATCATATGAGTGCACAATATGAGTACACAATAAAAATTTTGTTTTTTAATGTTACTCATACTGTATTATTGACAATAATTTGGCATCGCTCGGAAAAAACAGTAGCCAGATTTTTTTTTTTTGAAATTAAAATCTATTTAATATACGATTTTTTAAAATTCTGGGGTACATTTTTTTTGCTTTTTTTATATAGATTTGGACTAGGATTTAGGATAAGGTTTATAATAAAGGGTATATAGGCGGATTCTAGTGGGTTTATATTTCTAATTAAAACTTACAGAATTCAGCATCATTCTTAACGTTAGAGTTTTACTGTCTTTTCACTTAGATGTTTGCTTTGATTTCATGAATATTCTATATCGAATTGCAATAAAAATAAAAGATCATTTTAAATCATTTTAATCATTTATTTAATAAAATAACTATAATTACATAATGTTACTCATAAATTCACATTAATTTGTTTGAGTTCATATCTTAATCGATTTCGCCGGTAAGCACAAAGATTTTTATTCCGTATTTAAAATAATATATGGCTATTATTGTCGGTTTTAATTGGTATATATTTAAAAAAAAAAATCAACTAATTAAATTCATGAAAGATAAAAAAATAATTTTAATAATTTGTTAATAAACTTTAGCGTATTAAATATAAGGTTACTTTAACATTTATGAATTTATGATAAGCTATTTGTATTAATTGATCCTTTTTATCTGAATTTATATTTATTTGCTTGTAATTAAAATAAAAAAACGCGCAATTGTGGCTAAATTTATTTTTTGCATATATATTTTATATTTGGCAATGAATATTTAAAGTCACATGTAAGCTGACCAACTATCATGTTTTCCGGCTTAATTTATTCAAAATTCACATCCAAATTGTAGTTAAAGTAGATTTCAACATAATATTACTACTACTGTATTTAATGAAAAAAAAGAAGCATAGCTTCTAATTTAAACATAGAATTTTGTTCAAAGAAACTTTTAATTAGCCATGGGACTTGGGGCATATTAGGGATATTATAACGGCCAGCTGATCGATCGGTCAGTTATTAACCATCGGTATAACCACGGTCGGCAGATTATTGAGAAATAACCAGGGATGACCGACCGCTGAATCCCTAGCTATAGAGCTGAAGTCATCTATTTTTTCATAGAGTTGCTCAAATTTTAAAATTCGTATTTCGCGCTATCATTAGTGTTATGAATTTGCCGCAGAATCATTGTAAGGATCACTTCAATTTACGTTGAAGAAGCTGCTTAAGAACGCCCTTTATTATATAACGAACTCTAACGAACAGAAATCTGGTATAAAGAAAGGTGATTGTGCGATTGTATACATATGTTGTAAGTTGAACCGGAATTTAGGAATTTCATGTATAAAATTAGGATTAGATTATAAGTTTATATGCGACAAGTCCTACATATCCTAAAATATTAATATTTAAATTACGCCCTCATTTACAACATATATACAGATATCTCGAAATTTTAGCATATACTATAATTATTTCCAATCAGGCCTACCGAATTAGATTGTATCCATCAAGCCGGGTATAGGTTATTAAATTACCCGGGTTATCCAGGTAATCTATTATAGTCAAATAAAAATGTCTACCCGAAAATACAATCTCTACACCGAATAATTGTTTGTGGGAACTCGATTAATTAATTGGTGGCGCAGCCACAATTATTCAATTAATTGCAATTTTTTACTATGTAATAAAAGACGCAACATATGTATATAATCTTGACGTAGAAATTGTAAATTGAAAAAAATCATATCGGCGAATTTATAGAATTGACCTAAATTAAGGTCCATATATTTTAACAATGCGATTGTAAAACCGACTCTAAAATTTCAGCTATAATATGCATTCTGCAATTGTTAAATCCAGGGACCCTAATTTAGATCCATTCCGCAAATCCGCTGATATGTATAATATATAACAATAATATCGATATATGTAATTACATAATGATAACTAAGTGATTTCGATTTCTTTTTTTTATCTTTAAATCCTGACAAAAATTTACTTTTCGAAGAGCTGTAATCAAAGTCTTGCGCAAGCAAGAAGCCGTATTAACGTTGATGAAAACTAGGGATGTTTACAGTCTGGTCATTTTTGGTCCAAGACTAGTCTGGTCTATTGTCTTAAGATTTTGCTAGTCTAGACCGGTCTAGACCGATCCAGTTTTAAGACTTAGAGCAACCTAATTTTTTTTAGGTCCAGACCGGTCTTAAGACTAATTGTCTAAGACCAGACCACATAACATCCCAAAAATTTCAGACATTTATCGTTGAACAAAATTAGGGATTGGACCCGGGTAGAAATTGTTGCTATGATTATCCGAAATACATAATAATCTACCCGGTAATTTAATAATACCCGGGTAGGGATTTTCTCAACGGGTCCAATTTCTAACAACAAACAACAGAAGAAGAACCCATGACAATGAAAAAATTGGTTGCAAAGAAACAAAGAATTGAAGAATCAAAGTGCATGGATATGAACATTTATTCCACCTACATCTAATGTAGTAAACCGTTTATTTTCAATTGTCAAATATTACTATACAGACTGGAAAAAGTCTCTCGACCCACATACCTAAGAAAATCTAAGACTAATATAGTATCCAATACATGAAATGTAATATATTCGGTGCGATTAATTTTTACAGTTTCGATTACATGTTAGAACTTAAACTAATGATATCATAATTTTTAATTGACTGAAATTGTTTATGCGTATAATACAATTTAATTAAGATTAATATAACTAAATTTTTTCGATTATTAAAAAAATAATTAATTTGCATGTTACATGAATTTATAGAATCAATAAATTTAATGCTTGCTGTTGATCCGGAGCGTAGCGGAGGACCCTAAGTGTCTATACAAAAGTGATACAAACTTATTTTTTGACCAAAAATGGACTTTTTTTGATGCATCTGCATAAATATTATGATGATCATATCAAAAACGACCCTTAGAAATTTTATCTGTTCGCACGCGTTTTCCCAATTTACATTTCATTCACGCGTCTGTACAATAAAATGACTATATACTCCTGATCTATTGTATAATGATACCATTTTCATACGTATAGTGTATAGACGCTGTATAAATTAATAAAATTTCTTATAATTTCGTTATTATTATTGTTCGACCGTTGAGTAACGACAAGAGAAAACTTGTAAACGATGCTCTGAATTTACTTTTAATTAATTAATAATTAATTTAATTAAATGAATCTATTTTAATACTATTCTAATCGACCTTTTGAACCGAGTCGAATTGTTTTAAAATTATGTGTTAAATTATTGAAAATCACAGGATATCAATATTACGATAATAAATGTCCAGTGTAGGTTGGAATAAGAAGTATTTGAATAATTGCCTTATATTTAGGGTAGTTTATTTACAAAATGGGATGTACGATGTTTTTAAAGATCAACAGTGACATTGTTCTTTCTCCAATGCTAAAGGTGTACCAGAACAGCAAATGGATGACTACTACACAATTGGTTCAAACTTTTACAAAACCTTATTTGTGTGGAACTAAAAAAGGAAATGACACAATACCGATCAGGATAAGCATATAATTAGATTAAATATCGCTATTAGCTCAATCGCAAAATAAATTAATTCTCTACGATTTATGATAAATTTTATGATTTCACAATCTTCAAGTTTAAATAATAATGCGACCCTACAAAGCCAAGGCAATTCTTTCATGCCATGTCGATGGGAGTTATTGATTGTAAAAAATTGTGATGGAAGCTTATACTTGCTCGGAATATGTTATTTTTCAATAATAATATGTTTTACAATCACTTTTTTATCGTCAACCATTTTAGTTTATAAAACTATTTGGAATAATATTCCAATAAAGAGAAGTATTAAAATGGACCCTATTAAGGGATATTTGATTTGGATGGCTTTATATGGAATAAGTACGTATTATCTTTATTTAGTAAATACCCTCAATAGTTCATAAACTGTTAACCGCTGCATCATTCATTGTTGGCACTGGACATATGTTCGGTCTGCTGGACTACTTGGTCCATTCAGTTCTAGTTCATCAGTTTTAAGTAACTGAACAGTCCGGTTCTATTTAATTTAGACAGTCCAATTCGGCTTAATCCAGTCCAGTTATAGTCCAGTAATAAGCATATACAAATTATTGTTACCGTATAAACGCGAAATAACGCACAGGGGCGTTATTTTGAATAATGAATAGCCCGAATTAAGCTTAATTTAGGTCAAGATTCGAATTATACCCTGCGCGTTATTTCGCGTTTATACAGTATATTTATATATATTTGGTCCAGTGACAATACTGTCAGGCTGCATCGTACATAAAATTTCAATTTTTGGAATTTTTAGATTCAAAAATATTCTGGTCTACATATTCAATTATTTTTCCTTTTTTTTTTTAGTTCGGATAGTTTCAATGCTAATAGCAACGAATGATTGGCTTCATGATAATTATATTATAAAATCGATTATCGCAGCTTTTGGTTGGGCGCTCGGATGGGTTGCTATTGCAACTTATCTAGTTAGCATGTAATTGTTTCATCTAAAAAAAAACATTATTTATAACTTTTTAATGAATATAAGCTCTAATAAATCTTATTTTAGATTTAAAGTGCTTCCTCGATTAGCATTAAACCAACACACTATCCTCAGTATCGATGCAGATCTTCCTGAATGCCATTTGACGGCCAATCGTTTTATACCTAGCATTAATTCAGTGCTTAAAATATATTGGACATATACAATTGCTATATTAGTTTATACTTTAACATTGGCAATATTAAGAGGTTATTATCAGGGAATTGGTGAAAGAGCATTATTTAATATCACTCATGGTCTTATAGGATTTGGGCTTGGAATTTCGGCTATATTAGGAATTGTGTGTTTTATAAAGTATGGGAGATTAATAATTAAATTACTTTATGAAAGTGCCACGCTAATAGGGTTGACGGACGTAAGAAATTCGCAACGTAAGACCTCATGTTTAAAAAATTATCATGTTCATTTGAAGAAGGTATGTTTTTTTTTCTTTGGTCCAAAAAAAAAATAAAATTTTGAATTAAAAATCATACTTTCATATTGTAATCATTTATATAAAACTTAAATACAATATGCAGCTCAAGATTATGAATTTTAGTCTACTTGTTATAGTTTGTTGGTGTGGGTTTATAGGTTGTTTTATTGCTCTCATGGAAATGGTAATAGAAAAATACATGCCGTTATACGTTACTCTAGGAGCTATAAGCTTAGATGGAACACCTTTGGTATTATTGATCACGCTTCTTGGAATCATCTACGGGTATGCCTGACTATAAATTATGTTTTTAATTACATAAGTATAATCGTTTATTTCTTTACGTAACTTTTCTAATTTTATAGAGAAGTGCATAAACAATACAGTGCACAAGCAGAAGAAATCACCACTTCAATTAATTATTCTGAAGTTAATTAAGTTTATTTTATTGTTAATGTAATAATGATGTAGACTCATATCAAATATGATTATACTAGTTTTTTTTTTTTGTACAAAATAGTGTTTACTTGAATCTTAGTCATTTTCAGAATTTCGAACTAAACTCGAGCCGGACTTCTTTTAAAAGAATAATCGGGTCCGGGTTTGAAATTGGACTTTATAACATTTTGGATTCGGTTCGAGTTCGGTATATTTGGGTTCGAAACCAGAGAGGGTTAAAAAATATATAATAATATTTTTAAATTAAGATTTGGTTTGATATAAATAAAGTATTATGGCGTGTCCTCCGTTCTTAATTTGTTTTTTGTATATAGAAATTTTTAATTTTTTAAAATATATAAAATATATTTTTTAATTTTTTTAAAAATTTCATTTTTGTTTTATATATTTATTTATTGCTTTTGTAATTAAAAATTGAAACCACCTGAAAAAAAAATATATCAGTGTATTATCACGAAGTGTATGGCCTACTGAAAAAAAGATGTAACGTCCTCAAAATATAATATCCAATTGGTCACCATGTATTATACTTACTGCTATTTCTCCGCAGATTAAGTGTCTCACAATAAACCGCATGTTGCTTATTAGCATAATTGTTATATCCGGGTGTCTAATTTTATTTACCGTAAAGTCCCGAGCGTTGTGGGGTTAAATTGGTTTGCATAGTGAACTTAACTGATTAATATAGTATTATACACAGATTTACTAATAGAAATTTTAAAATAGTATAATGCAGGGTGCATAATGAAGAACAACAAGGAGCGTGTTAATAATTTTTATAAAATAACATAAATTACATAATCTTCGAATTGATACAGTCTTTTTTTTTTTTTTTTTTTAATACAAAAGATTAGTTTACCGGTTTATATATATTTTATATATATATAAATTATATAGTGAAGCAAATCGAGTTTAACTATTTCAGTTCTAATCTCAATTAGAGATTGGAACAGTCTAAATTTTTTCTAATCGATTAACTGTTCAACAGTGTTAGTCGTTTAATTCAGCTGGTGTTAAAATAACTGATAATTAGCACACAGAATTGTGAACCAATTTTTAGCGATTAAACCGATCCAATCTTTAAACTCAATACCGTAAAATCCCGAATACAAGCAATACCTCAACTTTAAGTTAAAACGCTAAAAAATAAAATATGCAATCCTTTTGAAATTGCTAAATAATAAAATTAAGAATAATTTTATGGGTATTTCAAAGTTACTGAATTTAAATAACCCTTTTAAAAAAATCAGCCAAAATGGGTGGCTTGGAGGGCCCTAATTTATTTTGTGTTACATGACAAAAATCATATCGATGCAAAAATTTTCAGGGTAATGATTTGCAAGTTGCGAAACAAATAAAATTTATGACGATCTATGTTTTGTGAAAAAAGATAGTTTTCACTTCTAAGCTAACATTTGTATCTTACAATTTAATTAGTATTCTTTATTATAACAAACGATATTTGTTATTTCATATTTTTATACTATCTATATTTTTTTCCTTTTACGCCAAGACACTTTGAAGTACTTCTTCTAAAAATTCTTGTTTTATATCTTTAGAATTATCAAGACTTTTTAAACAAACAGCTATTTGAGATCTTCTCTTCCACTCATTATTCTTCAAATCGAATATTTTTATATATCCGTCAATCCATATTGCCTTAAAAACAGTGCCAAAGCCTCCTTTAGCAAGATACTTTATATTTGCGAATTTGATAAAGGGTATCCATTCAATAATGTCCTTAAACTTCTTTGCATTAAGTTGTGTATGTTGGATTAATTGATCAATGTCATGATTGTCACTTGTCCAATTATGAAATTCTCTTTTAAATCTTAATATTAAAACATAATTAATACTGTATAATAATAATCAAGAACTACAATTGTAAAAAAATAGTTAATATATACTGCCTACTGGGTTAACGTATAATTATTTATTGCATTAGAATTATCGACATTTTTGATTTGCTGTAAAAAATTCAGTTACTGTACTTACTCGCTATAGTGAACAAGTGATTCAAAGGTTATGTTAGTTTTGTATTGGAATAAACGTAATTTCTATAGTGATTTACTGTAAAAAATTCTTACGAACTATTGTGATGATACATGGATATGTTAGTTTTTATTGGAATGATCGTGATTTATATAGTGATTTACTGTAAAAATTCTGGTTTACTGTACTTACTCGCTACAGTGATACAAGTGATTTAGATATGGTTATGTTAGTTTTGTATGGCAGTATTGGAATGATCGTGATTTCTATAGTGATTTACTGTAAAAAATTCTGGTTTACTGTACTTACGAGCTATAGTGATACAAGTGATTTAGATATG